AAACTTGAGGGGGTAGGGACAAATAAGTAAATACTTCTGCCTACTCCTTTCAAACAAATAATGGAATGATATTTTGTAATGATTGTGAAGGCTCATGTTTGAAATAAAAATGAACTGAACTGAACTTAACTTTCCAATAACAGAGTAACATTTCCTACCTCGCTCCACTTTTGGTTCAAACCAGGTCTTTGTAAACCACGTCTGCTGTGTTATTCCAATCGAACCGTCTCGTGTAAAGCTTACGAGAGATGCTCAGGCATCAGTTCATTACTTCACGATTTTTGGAAAGCAGGATCTTGGCTCACAGTTTAATGAACTTGTTTTATTGTAATCAGAACACAAGAACATTTAATTGCTGAATTTAATTTTCACAACAGTTCAATTCATTTTTATTTATACAGCCCCAATAACAGCAACAGTCACCTTAAGGCGCTTTATGCTGTAAGGTAGAAACTACAGTAATACATACAGAGAAAAACCCAACAATCATATTGACTCCCTATGAGCAAGCACTTTGGTGAAAGTGGGAAGGAAAAACTCCCTTTTAACAGGAAGACACCTGTTCCTCTTTCCTTCTCAGGGTTTTTTCCGCCGGACCATCCAGAAGAACCTCCATCCGTCCTACTCCTGTAAATATGAAGGTTGCTGCATCATCGACAAGATCACGCGCAACCAGTGCCAGCTGTGCCGCTTTAAGAAATGCATCTCTGTGGGCATGGCCATGGACTGTGAGTGTTTTCTTTGTTTTTTAAGCTCGTCATAGTTTTTAGAGAAGAGGTAACGATTTTTAGTTCACCGAGGTTCATTTATTTAAAAAGCAGCCTTCTTACACAGAGGCAGATTGAAGGTGCAGAGAAAGTAAAACAAAAAAATTACAACTAGTAACTAGTAAAAATAAATATTTCACATAGAAGTAAAAAAGTAAAATAGATTGCATCTGGCAGTTACGGTGCTAGTTGATTGTTTTATCTGCGGTGTTGGACTTTTAGAGCCAGAAGTTACTCTATTTAGAAGAGAAGGTGATTAGTTGTTAATCTGATAATGCCTGCAAGTGTGCTCAGCTACGGGCATTCATCAAATGTACAAGTGCTGATAGCTGCTAACAAGTGCTGAGTAATAAAGTGATAAAAATACAAGAATTTTACTCATCAGAATCAAAATGTTCGCTGTGTTACTTCACAGAGAGTCAAAGTGTTGCTCAGTTAATTCCATTAAAATGTCCCAAAAGACTCCCTGATTTGTGACACCTGTCAAATCCCTGCACCAATCTCAGCATCCAGGTGGATTGATTTAAAAAGAAGAAGAAGAAGAAGAAGAAAGAAATCATGCACTGTGTCATTTTTATGTAAAGTGAAGCTATGCAGTAGTTTTTGCTACTTTTGCGTTGGCTTTATCTTTTTCAGCCCACGTGAGCAGAGCACATTGTTACAGTAGCTGTGCCTGAAGCTGTGCTGGCATAATCTTCAAAGCATCTATAAAAATCCTTCACAAAACAAGCTAACGGAGCTTTGATTAGCATGAGCTAAGCTAGCTATCGGCACCTAGCGTTGTCCGCATACAACTACAACAATCAGTCATCCTTATCCACAAGCACAGAGAGGGAAATATTCATCACAAACAAAACAGAACGATGGATCCACTCAAAGTAAGTGAGAGGCAAGAGCATCGAAGCATGAAACCCGTGCATGCGTGCACATAAAAACTTTGTACTGGACTCTAATTTGAGATGAACAGTACACCCTTTCAAAATTTGCAAAAACGTGTTACTGGGTATTCACACATTTCTGCACAACGTTGCAGTCTAACTAGTTAGAGCGATGAATGATGGGGAACACACTCACATGCTCATCAGCATCTTTGCAAGTGCATCTGCTTGTGTGGATCTAGGAAAGGGTTTCCCAGGATGTTTAACAAAACCTCACACACACATTCAGAATATTTGTAGCATATTTACTTCTTTATGTTTGTTTTAGTATTTGCTTTAGCAGCAATAGTGCTTTAAATTTGTAAGCCATTTACTGCAGTGGATTAGCAGAGGAGGAGACTTCGGTCACGTCTGATAAACACACTCAGTGTCACCAGAGCTGCTTGCAAGCACGAGGATGGCAGTGTACACAAAAGTAGGTGCTTTTATTAGCACTGAGTGCGTAACCAGGATATCATCTGTGCAACCTTGTATGCAAGCTGTTTGTGCCTTTATACAGCAGCCAGCGTGTATAGGATTTTACTACAAAGTGTTATGCAACAGAAGTAACATCTATTTGTGATCATTCTCCACTTCTGTTGTCATGTTTGGAACACGTTCGCTAAAACTGATTTAGCCCGTGTCCTTACAGGAAGGGATTGATTATTACTGACACTGAATGTGCACAGAGTCCTCGTGTTGGAAGAGAGCTGTGATTATAGGCATCCAGGCGTAGTGCATAATTAGCCTATTAGCACAGTCCTTTCAGTGTAAAACCTGCGATCAACAGCTACTGCATTGGAAAGGTTTCCAGCTCAGCTGTAGACAAACATATCAGAGCTTCTCGATCCAATAATGCATGTTCACTGTGCCTATTTGTGACTAAACTGGTAGGCTTTCCATAAAGACTCATCTCCCACAGAAAAAAAGAACAATCCCATGTTGCTGTGTCTTTCTTGCCCCTGTCTGATAGTGGTGTTGGATGACTCAAAGCGCGTGGCCAAGCGCCGTCTGATCGAGGAGAATCGCGAGAAGAGGAAGAAAGAGGAAATGATGCGGATGCTACAGACGAGGCCAGAGCCAGACACCGCAGAGTGGGAGCTGATCAGGATGGTGACCGAAGCCCACCGGCACACCAACGCCCAGGGCTCCAGCTGGAAACAGAAGCGCAAATTCCTGGTAGGCTTTTAGTTGAGTGGACATCGCCTTTAGGCTGAGCACTGTTGCATAAACTGGAATAGAAATCTTTCACATGAAAGTCAATAGCAGTGTCGTGTTCAGTTCAGAGAACTGAACGTGACACTGCTGTAAAAGTGATGTAAAGCTTTGCAGAGTTTTACATCACGCTGTTCGTCTGTGGCACACAGCCCGTGGAGGAACCCGAGGTGCCGTTTGCACCTTAATTGCCAACAATCGCTCTTTTGCGTCATGCAAAATTTTTTTATTACACACAGATCTATCCAATGTGACCGAGGAGGATCCTGTGCAGGACAAAAACCTCCAAACGGTCCAATGATGACTGCCTGCACACCCAACGGTGCTTTAGAGATAACAAATATGAAGATTATAGAAAGCAAAAATGTAAATTATACAGCAACAGAGGTGGAAAAAGTATAAAGCATCATCTTAGAATATGAAAACCATTACATAACACAGATCTGGGCATTTGAATCGGGCTGCTGTTTGGTCCTCGCAACAGCTCCTTCCTTCTTTCATGTAGCTCGTTATTCCAGAATTCAACAGCGCCTTGAAAGTCAGTTCCACTTCAGATATCAAACATCAACATGAAAGAAGGCGACTTCTTTTCATTTCAAAAGAAGCCGTTTTGAGAGCTTTCCTTTTCATCGCGGCCAGCTCGCTCTGTGGCGTCCCATGTGATCAGTGTAACGTGCAGGCGCACGTGCTTTAAACCTCCCAAGGTTACCTTGACGCAAAGGTCAGATGTTTGTTACCAGGCAACAGTTCCATGAAGGTAAAGACGGCTTTAACGTTTGTAACAGTCTGCAGGCCGAGGTTACCGTTCGATTCAGCTTACTTTCATTTATATAGCGTTGCCTCGGGGCGCTTTATGTTGAAAGGTAAAGACAACATTGACACATGAGGAGGAGGAGGACAAATCACAGCTCACGCTTTGGATCGCCAGCAACTGGAAATAATTTCTTAGGCATTGTGCTGATATTACAAAAGAGCGAACATTCATGTGCTTAAACTAAAACAACGACTGTGATGTGATTTGCATCCTGCACACACCGCTGAACAGTTGGCATCAAAGAGCAGAAACAAACATGCAGTTTTAAATATTTGTTTCCATTTTGTAACATCATAACGTAACATCGTATATGCTGCATTTGCATTTATATTACATCGTGTTCTTCTAAAGCTGTAATCTCCTAAACCGACTCCATTTTTCCTTGAGCTTCTTTGATACGCCTCCTCTGCGTTACAGGCCTTCGATGGGGTCTGTTTTTAAACTGTTTTTTTAACAGAAAAGCAGAGACAGGAGACATCCGTTGCGTTCGGTCTGCAGGCTCTTCCTCGTCTGATTTATTAACAGAATTTAACAACGTCCTTTTCTTTTCATTTAGACGCACACCTTTCTCTTTTAACAACACAAACACATTCAATTAGGTCCATAGCTCAAACCCTTTTGGTTACCTTGCTTTCTCGCAAAAATAAACTTACAAAATAATCATTGTATATGAGTGTCCTTTACAGTAAATCTGTAACCAATTCTACTGCTGTTCAGCATCAAAACCATTTGTGTGCAGCTCCATTAACACTGCAATTAACCTGCTTATGTCGCCATTATACTTTCTTTATACTTTAACAGATTCAACAATATATTACATTTTTAACCAATAAACAAAAATATTCTTCCATTGCTCACAAACAGTTTACAATCATCCACAAACAGTATACATCAGACTATTTACATTTGACACATAAGAACTGGGTAGGTCCTAATCAACTGTAACTTCCAATAATGTCAGGATAAAAGAAGCGTCTTAAGAGCTGCATTTGTCACAAAATAAAACAGGTAATAAGACCAGCTGCCTATTTAGGTTACAAGTGGAATGGCGGTATAGCTAGCTTTCTCTCAATCGGTGAAAACACACTCGGTGAAAACACACTCTCACACAACATTCGTGGTCTTTAAACTAAGACAGAAAAAGGTTTCTTGCCTTTATATGTACATTTCAGTGAGCAAACTTGAACTACTGACCTGTTTTTTTAACAGAAAAGCAGAGACAGGAGACATCAGTTGCGTTTGGTTTGCAGGCTCTTCCTCGTCTGACGCAGAGAAGCGTTGCAACGGCCTATCGCACTCACCACTATCTCCCCCTTGTGGCAATGCCACGCAATTACATTGTCCCTAACTCTAAATGAAAAGTGCAATACCACCATAAAATCAGGTCTTTTACATCAAAAACAATTCACAAAAAAAATTACAGTTGTGACCATACACTTGTGGGCGTCACATCCGCAAAGAGAATCAACCCACAGGCCGGGCGTTAAGCGTCTCATTCAGCAGATATTTCTTGTGATATTTAATAGTTGAACAATGTCTCCTTTCTAGCCCGATGATATTGGCCAGGGTCCTATGGTGCCCACTTCAGACGGAGATAAGGTGGATCTGGAAGTCTTCAGCGAGTTCACCAAGATAATGACCCCTGCCATCACTCGCGTCGTCGACTTTGCCAAGAAACTGCCCATGTTTTCAGAGGTATGTGGTATGCGTGGGGCTTTACATCACTCTTTGTTTTGTATTTATCTTCAGTCTTTGATTCTGCTTGCACATCACGTCAGTTTCCCAACTTTCCGATCACTCACGCCTTTTATTCAGTGATAACTTCACAAGTCAGGATCCTCTGTCTTGGATCTAATGCATGTCTAAGTTAGCATGCAGTCTGTTCGTGATGACAGAGTTGGGATAATCGCAAAACTGTTGCTGTTTATATACACAAAGGTTTCAATTACACAAAGTTTCACATTAATGGCGTACATTCCAGTCCAGACGGAACCTCATCAAAGAAAAGAATCTGATATTTCTCTTTAAATTATGACATATTTGCTGCAAGACTGCAATTTAACAGTAAATCACATCGACTCTTATCAGTATTGCTTTTATGTAGGAATATAAGCAGAATACAACCAGCTGAGTCAAATCTCTTATTGAAAAGAGATGCAGACGAGTTGCGGTCATCAGCACAGCCTGCCTCTGATTGACTGCAATGTGTTTGTTTGCCGACAGGTCGCTTCCCATCAGGCAACCTGTGCCACCAAAATCACTTTACCGTGAAGGTCATGCTCTCGTGCAGCTCTGGACTGCTTCCACTTCTGCTGCTATTTCTAGATCACTGCCTGGAAGTCCCGTTCTGTCCCTCGCAGTTGTGCCTTTGCATTATATGCTGGATCTCCTCCAGTGTGTCACAATGGCAACCCTTCAACTTAACTTTCCTTCAGCTGACCCAGTGTGCTGCCTTCTGGCTTGGATAACATGAACTTATGGGTGACCCCAGCTGTCATCAACGGAAATTACTCTTAACATGAAAGTCGGGTAACAAGATGAGTTAGTAGCGCAGATTAAAGAACCTCAGTAAATAATGTGCAACATTTAATTGAAGAGGCTTCTAAAAATCTGCAATAGTGTCGTTTAAGTTTATGCTGCATTCAGTAAGTTTTAAGAGAAACATCAGCAGCAGTCGGATTTCTTACTCTGTGCCCCAGGAAAGGTTTCCAAACCCCCGTTTCAGTCTTTTATATCTTTTCCCAAAATGTCAGCTCACACAGTACCTAAATATAGCCCGTCGACTTCAAAGACAAGAACAATTCAATCCAGCGGCTTTAAAAATGCGTCGCTCTCTCGAGCTTCCACTTTTACTGAACTTAACACTGTGAGTTTCTTTATTGTCATTTCTTTAAATTCTGATTTCCACTTTGAATTTAGGCTATAAATGATTTAACATTGTTATCTAAACGACACGTGTGCACACTCTGCTTTTACTGTAACGTTTAAAGGCAGACTGTGAGCGTAAACACTAACAAGCTCGTTAACCTAAGCTGGGTCTTTTGATTGGGAACTCCCTCCATCTGAAGCTTTTGTCCTGCTGCTTGTCAGCTGGGATTACACCGACTAATCCACCCCACACCCCCACCGCTGTCTCCCTCTCTCTCTGCATTAAGTGGTGACTCACCACTCACTGATATTGCTTTGCTCTCTGTGCAAACGATCTGTGAGCAAGTGCCATTGCATGTCTTCCCACCTAACTGAGTGCACTCATCATGTATATTGTAGGGGCTTCCTGGTTACATAAAGCCTGGCAAAGGACTTGTTGTGAATATAATATTATAACCCTTCCCCTCTTATGATGGGGTGGAGGAAAAGCAGTCCTAATCCATGTCACTGTGTGTTTCTGTTTGTTATTGTGAAAGAGTCGGGACACTGTGTCAATGTAAATAAAAAAAGATCATTGCAGTTGGTGTAACTTTATTTTTGTAACAAATTGTTAATGTTGCTAGCTTTTAGTTACTATTATATTATCAATGTGTCACTAGTAGAAAACAAAGACAACTGTTGACTTCCAGGCCAGACTTTTCTGATTGAAGTTCAGCATTGTCTCATACGGAGCCCCGCAGGGGACATGGGAGAAAAAAAAGAATTAAGACGGACTTTTGCGAGATCTCGCAAAAGTTTTGCGAGATCTCGCAAAAGTTTTGCGAGATCTCGCAAAACTAACTCGGGATCTCGCAAAACTTTTGCGAGATCCGGCTGTAGTAGGTCTCGACCTCCCGTTAGCTTCGAGCTAAAACTTCGAGCTAAAACTGCGGCTAAAACTTTTGCGAGATCTCGCAAAAGTTTTGCGAGATCCCGAGTTGGTTTTGCGAGATCTCGCAAAAGTTTTGCGAGATCCCGAGTTGGTTTTGCGAGATCCCGAGTTGGTTTTGCGAGATCTCGCAAAAGTCCATCTTAATTTTTTTTTTCTCCCATGTCCCCTGCGGGGCTCCGTAGTCTCATTTCCTGACGAGCTCAAATCTTGTTTCCCAGCTGCCTTGTGAGGACCAGATCATCCTGCTGAAAGGCTGCTGCATGGAGATCATGTCACTGCGTGCCGCTGTGCGCTACGATCCCGACAGCGAGACTCTTACTCTAAACGGCGAGATGGCTGTGAAACGCGAGCAGCTGAAGAACGGCGGGCTGGGCGTGGTGTCGGACGCCATCTTTGATCTGGGCAAGAGTCTAGCACAATTTAATCTGGATGACTCGGAGGTGGCGCTGATGCAGGCGGTGCTGCTCATGAGCTCAGGTGAAAAACGAATATTGTTACCATTGTCTAAAAACTGTTTGAGAGAGAAGATGTGATGTTTGTCATTCGACACTGGTTTCGTTAGATTTCAGGTTGTATTCCCACCACAATCGTGACACTGAAAATATATTCATATATGAACCAACAAGTGAGGATTTTTTATCTTTTGTGGTCTTATGAAAGAACACAAAAATAATTTTTCCCTGAAACATGTTTCAAAACAAAACAACAATGATTTTTTTCACATTAATGTGACACTATGTTGGAAACTGAGTCACTGTTGCTACAATACACAATGAAATTGCTCCACTCACTGATCACAAATCAGCCAATAATAGCAGGATTGATTTGTCTTCTCTTTTTTAATTTTATGGTTTGGTAGGTCTAAAAAAACATTAATAACATTACTTGATTTTAAATCTCAGGTGTGGTGGTTCTGACCGTCTACGAAGTCAACCTCAGGATGTTTCAATCTGATTATAGTTGCTGTATGCTTCTGCATGCCACTTTGCAACCCCACTCCACCTGGCTCTTTTGTATTGCTTGTACAGTTTTAGTGTAAATTATTCAGTGCTTCAAATGTTCCACATTTTATCTTTTTTACAGATCAATTTTGCAAATTATTAAAAACAAAAAGCTAAAATGTGTACATAAGTATTCACAGCCTTTGTTCGGTACTTTGTTTAAGCACATTTTGGGGCACTTTCTTCCATTTTCTTTTGCAGAGCGTCTCTAACTCCATCAGATTAAATGGGGAGCATCACTGCACAGCTATTTTCAGATCCCTCCACAGATCTTCAGTCAGCTTCAAGTCTGTACTCTGACTGGGCCACTCAAGGACATTCACATAGTAGTCCCAAAGCCCCCCTTTGTTATCTAAGCTATGTGCTCAGGGTCATTGTCCTGTTGAAAGTCTGAGGTTCAGAGACTCTGAAGCAGGTTGTCATCGAGGATTTCTCTGTACATTGCTGCATTTATCTTTTTCTGCCTGCTGCCAAAAACATCCCAACAGCATGATGCTTCCACCACCATGCTTCACTGTGGGGATGCTATTGGTGATGAGCGGCGCCGGGTTTCCTCGAACACAATGCTTGGCATTCAGGCCAAACAGTCTTTTGTTTCATTAGACGAGCGCATTTTCTCGTTGTCTTGGAGGTGTCTTTTGTGAACCTCCAGTTGGGCTGTCATGTGCCTTTCACTGAGGAGTGGCTTCCATCTGGCCACTCTACCAAACAGGCCTTATTGATGCTGCAGAAATGGTTGGCCTTCTGAAAGGTCCTCCTCTCTCCACAGAGCAATCCTGGAGCTCTGTGGTCACGCTGAACGACCATTGGGTTCTTGGTCATCTCTAAGGCCCTTCTACCCTGATCGCTCAGATTGGCCGGATGGCCAGCTCTAGGGAGAGTCCTGGTGGTTCCAAACTTCCTCTATTTATGGATGACGAGGCCACTTTGCTCATTGGGACTTTCAGTGCTTCTGAAATTTTTCTGTACCCTTCCCTAAATCTGTGCCTCAATACGATCTTGTCTCAGATAATTCCTTGGACTTCATGGCTTGGTTTGTGATCTTTTCCGATCATGTTTAATCAACTGACTTTACCACAGGTGGACTCCAATCAAGTTGTAGAAACATCTAACAGACGATCAGGGAAAACAGGGTGTACATAACAAAATGTGGAACAAGTAACAGGAATACTTACTTTCTGCATGTTCTGTAAATAATGCAGTTGACTGCCTGTTATGTTCTGTGGTGGGTCTTGTTGCTTCTCCTTTAGTCTCTCTATATAATTGCATAGAAGGGCAGAGTGCCCTCCTGACAGAAATCACATTTTCAATTGTTTTCAGTCATTAAACGGGAGATAGCTGGCAATGGCAATTAGGCAACTTTGCAGTTTCCAGTGCGTTCATGGTCAGTCCTTACACTGGTGCAGGTGGAGCTTGCTCATTGCCATTTAAAGATATTTGTAAGGACATTATTTGCTTCCAATTTTTCAATCATTTGTAGTGGAAAAAACCCCACCATGGGACTGGCCCTGTAGTTTTACTTCTGCTCTAATGCTAAAAGTCTACCACAGTTTAACAGCCTTTAACCACAGACATAAAGCTGATCACACCGGCTTTATTTGCACACTGATGGAAAAAGGAAAAACACATCAACTAAATTCCCACACTCCCTAAACAACCTGAATGGGAATAATCTTGTCTAATCTGCTTTTAATCCTATCACCACACAGCCCTAATTCCTAGACAGTCACTGTCTCTGAAGCTGGGCCACAAAGCCCCACTCGGGCTGGATTTCTTCAAAGTGTGAAGTAAAAGACACCCAGAGGCAATCTTAACATTAATTATATTAGATGCTTATTCACAAAACCATCTGCTATAAAATAAAATGCAATAATAGTTTCTCATAAATCTCTTTAATTCTCTGTTTCATAGTTGAAATGATGTAACTAGTGTGCAGTGATACACTCAGAGGATGGACAGAATAATGTCTGAACAACACTACAAGGGAGGGACAGACAGTATCGGCATGATTGATAGTTGGAAAGCAAAGCACTGTGCAGCACTGCAGATCAGAAGAGCAGATCCTGCAGGTCATTCAAGGTCTTGGAATCTCTCCAAGACCTTGGATGACCTAAGGCAGCTTATTTATGGACACGCTGCTGCTGGAATTCTGTCAGGATGTGTTTGTTTCTGAGTACATTTGAGATATTTTTAGGGGTAAAGATACTGAACACAGCAGCTTTTTCCAAATTGTGAATATTGGGCTTTTTTTCCTTGTAGCCGATGGGTGCTAATTCTCTGGTTGCAAACACACAGTTCCAGTGTTTGAATTGCCACACTTTTGCCACTTTCAATTAGGTTTGTCGACTATCAAAAACGTTGACGATTACTTTAATAGTTGACGCGTCGTTTGAAGCTTTGCAAGATCCTGAAAGACGCAGGAATAAGTAGTAGGATTTAAGAGTTTAATAACGGACTGAAACAGAAGATGGCAGGAATGCATGTCCGGTGTCCGGTATTGTAGCTGTGCCCACATTTAGGGGCCGCATCCTTCGGAGGCCGTATTTGTAGGCCGATTACGTCACAGTGGCGTGGCGAAGGATGTCCAAATTCAAAAGACAAATGTGTCCTCCTTATCCCCAGAAAGGAAGGATTGGTCGGGTGTATTCTTCGTGGCCCAACCTATCCCAGAATTCATAGCGCGGCCCAGCCAGTTCCAGCTGGCAACAATGGTAGCAGCTATTTATTTTAATATTACTCTGATTACTCTTTCTGGGTCACAAAATAAACTTTTAAGATATTTTCAGGCGAGAATGTAGCTGTGTAACCTCCAGTTTATCAAGACATCATATACTTGCAAAAGTGTTCCAACGTTCTCGGAAACGTTTGTTACCCACCAGCTCGATAGCTGACCGGGGTCACTAGAGCCGAGAACAGCAAACTCCCTGCACATCGTTTCAGACTTAAAAATGTTATTGTTTGACGTTTTTCAGTGTTTTATTTGTTCCTGAGTAAATCAGTTTGGCTGTGATTAAAGTTATAGTTTTTACACAGCTGAATAAACGTCAAGCAGAAAACTGATTAAACAGAATTTGGTAGAGAATTTACTCCAGTGTCCTGTTATATTTTAGATAGCAAGGAGCAGACGGCTGAGTTTATTGAACTCCACCGAGACAATCTGCAAATTTCATTAAAAGTTTAATAAACTATCATCTTGTCTTTATTTTTAGTTAGCCTTAAACACTTAAAGCTGTAAGCTAATGATAGTTCTATAAGAGCAGATGCTGCTGGTGCAATAAGCTGTATGTTTTACCTCCAATGGATGCATGTTTAGTTGACTAATCACAAAAATAATCGGTGACTAGTTGACTATCAAAATAATCCTTTATACTACTTTTAATAAACCAACAGCTTCATTTATATAAGTTATATATAAATACGATGTTCTGTTCAGAGATTCTGTTTCCAGTACTCACTGTCACATCACTTATTCTGCCCTCTCCAAGAAAAATGTATGCAGCATTTCAATTTGCAATCTTTCTCCTGTTTTAAAAGGAACCCGGCAGCGGAGGGCACATTTCCCATGTAATTGTTCCTATGTTCTTTATTGCCTGCAGACCGTTCAGGGCTGACCAGCGTGGAGAAGATTGAGCAGTGCCAAGAGGCTTACCTTCTGGCGTTCGAGCACTATATAAACTACCGCAAGCACAACATTCCCCACTTTTGGCCCAAGCTGCTGATGAAGGTGACAGACCTGCGCATGATCGGGGCTTGCCACGCCAGCCGTTTCCTTCACATGAAGGTCGAGTGTCCCAATGAACTGTTTCCCCCGCTCTTCCTGGAGGTGTTCGAGGACCAGGAAGTGTAACTGTACATCACCCTCAGAAAGAACACTTTTGTGGTGGCTTTGAGGGGAAGTTTGGCTGGAGGACAAGCGAGGACGAAAAACTGGATTTTTTTTTCTCTTCATGGAGAGCACACTCTGTAAATTTCTTTTGTTGCCCCTTTGTGTCTGTTTTTTTGTTTTGTTTTGTTTTTTTGATTTGTCAAGCAACTCCAGCATCCACCACCAGCAAGCACACATCAATATTATCAGAGGAATGCAATCAGTCTCACTAGGCACACACACAAAGTACAAGCAGTGTAAATACTTACATAACTATTCACACATTCATACACCATAAAAAGTGTATTTATATGCAAACAATTGCATTGCCTCTTTTTGCACCCCCATGGATACACAGCTGTACTGCTCCTGACTAATGCAAACTGAGGGTTATGTTTCTACTAGCTGCACAGCCACCTATCACCTCAGATAAGTGCTTTTTTTGTTTTGTTTTAATCTCTGGGGCCTGATCATTAGCTTCTCTTTCAATCCCTACACTTCCCTCACATCTCCTTAACTGCAAAAGCATCCTCTGTCCGCAGCCTAGCACTCAACCTGCCAAGGCCCCGTGAGTCTTTGTTGACCTACCTCCCTCACGTACTGACCTCTCTCTCTCTCGTGTATACACAGGCACATGGTGTACATGCACAAAAGACACCCCTACAATATTACCTCAAACAATATTACCTTTCTGATTAGAAAACACAGACTCGTGTAATATTTAGTCAAACCATATGCAAGCTACAGTGAGAAAACTTTGTATGAAGCCCTTATTTATATACAGATATGTCTTATAACTGCAGACATGAGATGTTATCGCTCGGTTTCCTGAGCAGGGACTAAACCCAGTCTAAAAAAAAACACTAAAAACTTTGTTTTCAGTTGAAATCTTCATTGAATTTTCCTTCAAGTGTGGAACTGGGCTTAATCCATGCCTGGGACGCTGAACCCATAGGTATTAATTACTGTAGTGCATCAGAGGTTACAAGATGTCATGAACATCACGGTGCTTTCTGTGATCGCTAAGTGTTTTGCTATCCATCTTTGTGCAGTAAATTCTCTTTGTTTACTGACATGGTTCGATATTCTTGGAAACAGGTTTACTTTCTTTCTTGCTGTGACTTAAATATAAAGTTTGATACCATTCTTATGCAGTATTTGAAGCTAACGCTAGAGACTGCTTAGCTTAGCATAGCTATGCTAAGCTAAGCTATGCTAAGCTATGCTAAGCTAAGCTATGCTAGCATAGCATCGTCACTATTGGGCGATGAAGGCTGTCCCAGGGCTGCTCCAAATGCGGCCCACAAATGCGTCCTCCTTTTCCCCAGATTTAAAGGATTTGTCGGGTGTATCCTTTGTTGCCCAGCCTATCCCAGGATTCATAGCGCGGCGGTGGCTGTGGATGATTTTTTTTTATGTTTAGCTTAGTTGTTGTTGTTTGTTGGAATGTTTAAAGCCAGATGTTTTATTATTTCCTGTTTTGTGCTAAGTTAGTGCTTTTATTGGCTGTAGTTTATTTTTTAAGGGACAGATTTGGAAATTGTGTTATTTTCACCAAAGTAAGAAAGCAAAGAAAGAAATCCTGTTTCCCAGAATATCAGTCACTATTACTTTATTGCTTCTTCAGGAGTTCTAGGACGTTGTTTTTATCATTTCCATGTCAAGGAGTTATAAGCAGATTTATTCTAAAACGTATTTTTCATTCATGATCTACCAAAATAAAAAATAAAAATAATACTTTTTTTTCTTATTCATTGGATTCAGTGGATTTGGATCATCTTTACCTCCAACTGGCCATTAGCTGCTGAAAGGCTAATGGCCTGCTCCAACCCCGTTCCTCAGAAAGCACTGATTTAGTCATGGCATCTTAAGCATCCAGGAAGAGAAAAGCTGATTGTGACGTTGTTTTTATACTAACTATAGCATACACAGGACGTCTGCTTATATTTATACACAGCTGGAATACCTCTCCAACACATACCTGCTGTTGTCTTTACCTCACATACTCATATGCATATTAAACACCCATTTAGTTATTATCACATGTATTACCGCAGTTGTTTTGTGATCAGCACTTCCTCCTGCTGAGTTGTGCACACTTCCTGTGTCTTTGGGTCAGTGTTTGAGTATCCCATTGGATCCCCCTGCTCTATGGTCCGCGCCCTCAGCTTTCCACTGATTTGTGTTAGGTTCAGCACTAGCACATGGTGGTGGTTGTGGAAACCTCTTCAGGCTTCTCCCCATCGCCTGTATCCATGTCAAGTCCCGCCTGAAACTGGCAGATTCTACCTCACCTCTCATTTAAAAGGAGCTCCCCCTCTACCTGCAGCGCGTACACATAAACATGCACAGAGATATAAAAATACAGATATATGTACTTACCGTGCACAAAGGACTTGCAAGCATGGACCCACTGAGTGTCTTTTACATGGGCCAGAGATCAACAGCTGAAATTCAGTTCCCCCCCATTTTTTTTCAGACTTTATCACAAAAAAATTGGGATCAAGAGTTATTTTTAATTTTTATTTAAGAACCTAAAGTGACAACACTGCAGACATGAATCTGTGAATCTGGATCTGTGTGCCAATTGAACTTGGAGGAAGCTGTCAGGACACGGACAGCTGGAAACTGGCACCCCAGTTTAATTTTAGCCCTGTCCGATCAGCCCAAGAGACTCTTCTGGGTGGTGACTGGAAGGTAAATAAACAGCAACCGAGTCAGCAGAATCCGCCTGAGGATATGACTTTTCGTCCTGGCCGAAAGCGAGGGAAACGGCGAGTGTGTGTGACCGTTGCAGTGTGACGCAGTTCAGGCCACCAGCAAACATACGCAGACGCCGAGCGATACGTCCCTGAATTCGTCCCTCGCCATCGCAGCACAAACGGAAAACACTGGCCCAGAAATTCAAATCATGAATTTAACATTTCTGAGACCATCTCCACCAACCATATCCCGCACTGCCATCCTCTACAAATGATTATCAGGTTTTTTTTCTGTTGCACTAAAACCATGCCTGTATTCTTCAGCAGCCCTGAACTCCTTTCCTCTATGACCTCTCCTAAACCTTTCCCTTTCCCTGCTAGTCTGTAGCATTCCCAATATCCTCCCTGATGATCTTATATAACCAACAAGGACTGTGACGTGGCGCTGCCACTCTCAGTGTTACCAATCTATGTTGCAGGGTATTTAAATAGAACGTGCTTATACAGGGATACAGTTGCACACACACACACACGGCAATAGGATGATTGAGCTGTACAAGTTCAGAGCGGCCGTCTCCCGACCTGCTGTGTTTGTACTGCACTCACTATCACTGTGAATGAAAGCCACGCTGCAACCGGGCTACGGCTCAGACAGGGTACTGCTGGCTTTCTAATTCACACATGTAAATGTGCCTCACAGAGGTTGTACAAATATACACAATACAGGAGCAAATATTTATACACAAACACAACACGGTTATTGTATGTGGCATTCGAGCTATCAGTGGGTGAGTTTATGCTGCCAGTTCCAATCAGATCGTGAATCTGACCGCTCATGTAGCACAAGAATCAATGTCTGTAATACAGTTGTTTTTAATACGTTGGACTTGGGGTTAGACTTTGGACCTGATGTGCGTTTTCTTATATTCTGTCACTGTGTTTAAACAGAGAAGTTTCCAATAATGAGTTGAGTGTATGTACAAGTAATCCTGCGAGTCAGAAGTCGCTCATCCCAGAAAAACAGCAAGTTGTTTATCAGGAGGGAAGGAGAGCGTAGAATCGCTTGTTTCAGGCAGTGGATGAACTGAAGTGCTACACCGAGCAAAGGATGCTTTTTAAACCAGAACAGAGCTTTAAATAAGCATAACAGGGTATGTAATTGACATATGATTTACAGTAAATACATTCAAAGGTGACCATATTAGTTGGCCATCGGTAACATCTGCTAATCACCAACGTTCAGCTTCAAAGTGATGCACTTCCTGTGTGGATGCATACATATAATCTTTATAGATGCCTTGTGGAGATCATCAACTCATGGCTGACTTGCTTTTTGCGAACCTCTTGGTGAATCCCCCCCCCGAGTTTGAGACTGAGGTCAACTTCATGATTTAGACTGGAGCTGGCAGCATGGCCTCTCTGTCTCACCCTCTCTCTCCTTCTCAGCCAAATGATCACTGGGGAAATCCTCTTCCTGTCCTTTAAAAAGAGAAAAAAAAAACACAGCACACCAGCACCACAGAGCACACTGCCTTCAGCCGTGATCAGCTGCACCAGCATAGTGGAGAGACAGCAACCATCCTTCTCACCTTCCACAGTCATCATCACATAGCAGACATGTCCAGGTAGCTCTTTAAGTCTGATCTCAGCGGTTGGGTTTTTAAACTCCAATGAGAAGTAGCTGCACAGGACTGTACCTTCATTTGTTGTCTTGATCATCATAGTGACGAAGTAGCCATGCATATTTTCTGCATGACGGCTCTGTTACTAATAGCATGGAGTGTCTTTTCTAATTTTTTTTGACTTCATAATCTCCAAGCAGTGCTTCAGTGACAAGACAAAAAACCAAAAAATCATTTTACATTAAGAAATCAGAATAAAAGAACTGATTTGTTCTGTCTGCTTGGACATGGCTCAAGTAGTTGGTGCACTTACCTGTGTGAGCCATAGAGTCAAAAACACGTGTTCTTGTGGCAGTGTAGCATTGTTGGACATAATTGAGGCCACTCAGAGGTAGGCTACCTCCGTCCGCTTCATGTCCCGACGTCCCAGTCAAGCTGTAGAATAACAGTCTCCGTGTTTTCCACACCATCACTACAGTTTGCTTTTTCTGTCTGCCTCTGAGATCATAGGAAGGGTTATATTACGTTTACAATAAACTCAAATGTGAACTTGATGCTAAGCTCTGCAGCTGCACAAAGCTAACAAATACTACTGTTTTTATTACTTACCCAGGGAAAACATCCGTAAGCCAACATCATTGCTCTCATCCTTGCATCCACCTTTCCACATCCTTCCAACTCCAACCCCCCCGGGTGTTTCCTCCATATGCCTCTCCTTCCTTTCCACACCCTCTCCCAGAAACCTGCTACGGCTCATGCTAGCACTCTCTGGTGGAGAAAGACGACAATCCCTGCAGGAATATGTCCACACGTGGAATGTAAAATACTGAAATTGTATAATTAAAGACACGATGTGAAGTCCCACACTCATGTTCTTTCGATGTTGCTTTTGTTGTGCACCAAGTGTTCGTCGTTCTGGGCCGTTGAGCTTTGGAGGTGGACATGAACCACGTCCTGTGACAGACTGCTACTGATGAGTCGTTTTAAGAAAAAACTAGTATGTTTATGAAAGAACTGTGTGATGACTGAAAATGTTCGAGTGATTTAAAGGAAGGGATGAAGTGAATGTTTTGGGTATAGAGGAATTTTTTAATTTTGTTTTTTAATGATACTTTTGTCTTTATTTGCATCTGATTTTTCTTGGTAAGTGAATGTCTATCTGTGTTGATGCTTTACTGTGAGAATATGGCTGTATATGCACTTTCAGACCGTCATTGGTGCAGTGGTAGCTAGTGCTCAGACATTACCCATGGGTCAGGGTTCAGCTCATCTTCAGTTTAGCCAACTGAAAAAGAAGCCATATTAATAAATACGATTGAAACTTCTTGGAACAGGCGATTGCATTTGGCACCATAGTTGGCTGTATCTAGCAGCTGTACTGCTTGCACTGTAATACACACTGCTGTATAAGAATGAATGAATTGCATTATTCAAAAATATACGTTTAGTGTGATAAGCTAGTCAGTGTTTTGGATTCATACTTTTTTTTTTTTAAGGTTTTAAATCTTACATTTTTCTTACTTCTGACCTTTTTTTATTTTGTCACTACTGCAACCTCTCATACACTAAAACGTAATATACCACTGTCCCAGTCACACAGGCTTAGAGACCAGTTAGTGACTGCCTGGCAATCACAAGTTGTTCGGGCAAAATGTATTTTCTCTGAACAGTTGCTGAAGTTTGCTGGCAGTTGCTGTGAAGTCAGTTCCTAAAGGCTCAGTTAGGCTTGCCTACACTAGTCTGTGATCCTGTGGTAATCACCGGCAGCAGGTGAAAAATCTCTCCCCAACCAGTTGGAGAGTGGTAGCAGAAAGTTGCTTACTGTCAGCAGGTGAAACTGG